GGCAAAGCCTGGCAAGCTACCCGTGGTGTATTCAATATGCCAAACACAGTAACAACAAGTCTCAAAATGGAGACATTACTGCGCCCGCTTGAGCAAATAGATGAACAACAAGAGGACAGTGACAGTGATCTTGGACTTATAGTAGTATCTGCCAATCTAGAAACTTGGACTTTTCAGTTCTAGAAATGTATCATGAACTACAGACAAATGAAAACAAAGAAGATGGAGGGGGCAGGGAATTCTAGGAGTAAATAGGGCAGCCTCCAACACAGCCATGTCCTAAAACCCGTGTGCCCTGCCCAGTCTTGGAACCTCTGTCACTGATCAGGTGCCTTGCACCACATCTACTTCAGGCTTTTAAGGCCTGGTGAAGAGGACCAGAAGGAATAAGCCCTACATGGAGCTGGAATTTTTCAAGAAGATGCGCAACCACAAGAATCAAAAGCGTGGTCTGGGCCAAAGAGATAGCACAGCAGGTAGGGGCTTTGCCTTACATGTTGCTGACACAGGTTCGATCCCTGACACCCCATGTGGCCCCAGGAGCCCCTCTAGGAGTGATCCTCGAGAGCAGAGCCAAAAGGAGACCCTGAGGGGCTGGAGTGATAGCACAGCGGTAGGGCATTTGCCTTGCACGTGGCCAACCCACCATCACATATGGTCCCCTGAGCACCGCCAGGAGTAATTCCTGAGTGCAGAGACAGGACTAACCCCTGAGCATCGCCAGGTATGACCCAAAAAGCAATAAATAATGAATAAATCTTATTTAAAAAACAAAGAAAGAGGAGACCCTGAGCACCACAGGGTGTAGCCACCTCCAGAAAACAAAACAAAAGGAAACAAAACAAAACAAAATAATAATATGATCTGATCCATTGACAGGAAATGGCAAGGCGGTCACTAGCTCTGATGCCCAAGTAGACATCTTCATTTATGCCTTTAACTCTGCAGCAAAGGTCCTCAAAGGACCTCGCTCAGAATGGTGGCTAGAGAAGAAAAAATAGAATACCAAGAATAAGAAGGCTGTGCCCAAGGATTTTTTCCCTTGAGTCTCAAAAGGTCCCTGCCACAAATCACACTGATAAAGTCCTTCTTAATTCAGTTTGCTTTCTAAAAATGACAGCCTATGAATCGCTGTGCTTGCAGGAAAACTCCTTATCATTCATTCTTTTCTGCTTGCCCAGCCAAGCTGAGATGTGAATTCGAGCAACCCGTCGTCTTGGGAAGTCTACGTGTGTTTTGCCATCTTTGAAATAGGAAATTTCCAACAAGAATCACCCCTGGGAGTAGCCTCAGAGGGCTCTTTGAAACATTCAAAGTGATAAAACCCTTTGAGGGCAAGGTACCTTGTCCTTTTAAGAACACACAATTCAGCTTCGCTGCCTTGTTCAAGGTGCTACCCTTGGACAACAGATAAAAAGCAAGTCCGTCAAAGGAAAGGAGGGCACGCACAGCAGAAATCAAGTTGAATTCACTTGATTAAAAATGGGGTTCTTAAAGCGATCTATTTTTACTGAAAACATGGATTACTGGAAACAAGGCACAGTGGTCGTAAAGGACAGAATGGTGCCTGTCTTTGGGGGGAGGGGTGGGAGGAGGGGATGAGAGGTGCTGCCAATCTGGGTGGTAGCTATATGGACAGATGCCAACGCAAAATTATAGAAACTGTTCTCTGTGACTTGCTCACTTTATTGTTTGTGAGTTCTATCACAAATATACAGGAATAAAGGGGGGAAATGAGTGATATCTTCACCATGCAAAATATTGCCTCTCTCCCTCCCTCCCCCTTTCTCCCTCCCTTCTTCCCACTCTCCCTCCCTCCCTCCCTCCCTCCCTCCCTCCCTCCCTCCCTCCCTCTCTCCTTTCCTTCCTTCCTTCCTTCCTTCCTTCCTTCCTTCCTTCCTCTTGTTTCCCTCCCTTCCTCCCTCCCTTCCTTCCTCCATCCCTCCCTCCTTCCCTCCCTCCCTCCCTCTCTTCCTTTCTCCCTCTGTCTTTTTCTCTTTCTCCTCCCACACCTGACTCTGCTCAGGACTTACTCATGGCCTGTGCTCACAGATCATTCCTCACAGTGCTTGAGGGACCATATGCAGGTCCAGAGTCAATTTAATTTTTTTTTTTGCCTTTTGGGTCACACCCGGTGATGCTCAGGGGTTACTCCTGGCTCTGCACTCAGGAATTACTCCTGGCAGTGCTCGGGGGACCATATGGGATGCTGGGAATCGAACCTGGGTTGGTTGTGTGCAAGGCAAATGTTCTACCCACTGTGCTATCGCTCCAGCCCCAGGTCCAGAGACTTGAAACTGGTCATCTGTAAAAACAAGGCGAGTTCCTAAGAATCTCTCTTTTTTTATAAACACTGTTTTCATTTTTAATGGGAGAAAAAAAAATAATAATCCTGATGCTAATGGCAATGGTCTTTTAGAAAAGAAAAACTTGATCTTTCGGACAGGAGGTGAGAACCTCTGTATCTGTGTCCTTGTCAGGCAATAGATGGGACCAGGTACACAGGTAGGAGGTACCATCTTTGGCTAGACAACAGGATAGATCATTCATGAATGATAGGAGAGGAGAAAAGGAATACACACAAATGCAAGTACAGGGAGGTGACAGTCTCTTTCTATGCCAGTTCTCAACGAAGAAGGAAGCAAAGTTATCAGCTGAGAGAGGATTTCGGTGAGGAGGTGTGGGACGTGGGCAGAGAGTGGAGAAAATAAAGCGATACTTCAAGAGTATGAGAGAGAGAGAGAGAAAGAAAAGAAACTGGTCGAGTAAGTGATTCTTCTCAGATACAAGTAAAACTGTTTTGCTTTGCTTTCATTTAGAATTTTTTCATCTAGATTTGTAACAAAGATTAGTCTAATAATTTTGGGGGAAGGTTTATAGGTCAAGTTTTGCTGTTAAGAACACACAATGGCAATAATTATTACCATCGAGCAAATATTATGTACCTAGGTTTACGGGTCAAGTTCTGATGTTAAAGACACACAATAGAAATGATTATGATCACCGAGCAAACATTATGTACCAGGCACTAGCTGAAGTATTTCTTCAAATCATCTCAGTTAATCATTATAGCAACTAGACATGATAGATTGACCCATTTTGCAAATGAGGAAATTGAAGCCAAGGGTGAGGGCATAGTAAAGAGACATGACCAGAACTGGGATTTAAACCGAGGGCAGAAACTTCACAATCAAAATCAATATTTTTCTTGGGGAAGAGGAGTTTGGGCCACACCTGGCAGTACTCAGTCCTTACTCCTGGCTCTGGACTCAAAGCTGGGCTTGGGGACCATACATGGTACCAGAGATCATACTGGTGATGGTTGTGTGCAAGGAAGAGCCTTAACCAGAGCTTAACCCCTGTGTGATCTCTCCGGCCCACAATCAATACTTTCTTTTTTAATGTACGAGTACTGTTATTAAACTGACAATCAATACTTTTACCTAACAATTTATGCTAACTAGCTTCTCACCTTAACTCTAAATTCTGGGACTTGTGATATTAAGAAAAGAGAACAATCTGTTCTTTGGAAATCCCAAAACGATCAACAGCAAAAAACCATCGGTTATAAAAATACAGTATTTAAAATGAAAAAAAAAAAAGAAAGAGATCATCCACGGGCTTGGAATCTATCTTATTTCCATTCACAGATCGTTGTTTCTGCTTAAGACTATGAAGTCTTCGGTTTAATAAATGCTCTGAGAAAAGCAGGTGAGTCATTACTCTGTCAACCTTGGTAATCGTCACGTTCTGTCTCTTTTCACTTCTGCTTCCAAAACTAACAGGGAAGTAACAGCAGTTTCAGAGCCATTACCCTAGCCAAGGCGGCTGTCCCGCCAGGATGAAGGCTGAAGGCAGGTTGCTTTTGCACCATCATTAAATGTACCACCAGAGTCCTCTCCCCCCGTTTTTCCTTTATGCGACTTGCACCCGTAATGTACAGAGCAGCCAGAGAGGGACTGATGTTCTAAAGGCCCTTTGTAATTACTATTCTATAGCAGAAAATAGTAGAAAGTGGAACAGTCAGAGCCTTAGCTGTGCATCACAGAGTGTACCACGCATCATGCAGAACTACAAACGGAAAACATCACTTTTTTTGTTTGTTTGTTTTCTTTTTGGGTCACATCCTGTGATGGACAGGGATTACTCCTGGCTTTGCCCTCAGGAATTACTCCTGGCGGTGCTCAGGGGACTCTCTGGGATGCTGGGAATTGAACTCGGGTCAGCTGCGTGCAAGGCAAACGCCCTACCCGCTATACTATCGCTCCAGCTCCGGAAAACATCATCTTTGAAAACTAAATACGAAGGCACAAGTTACCATCCTACAAAAAAAGACCTTATATCAAGTAATTTTTAATTTGCTCAGGAAGCTCATTCCCCTTTATATATCTTCGATGGGTTGGAATTATTTTTCCAAACCAATATTCCTGATCCCAACTAAAATGTAATACATGGAATCATTAATTCCAGTGGTTCCACTCTGGACTACTCAAGGCCCTGTTTTTCACAGCTTTCCCTTGTAGAAGAGAATGGAATTACTCTGTCTTTAACATTTTAACATAATCTTAATATTTTTTCCCCCCTTGGACCTAGCACTGTGAGTAACCTATATTAAATGCTCAATAAATATCCACCAAACCTTATTAAATAAACATATTTGGTATTTTGTAGAAGAATCTAAGATTTTTTTAGGCGATGAACTAAATACTTCAACAGAGCACTTTTCTGTTAAAATCATGTAATGATAGATTTCTTCAAATGTGATTTCTTTTTTTTCCTAGCTAAGGTACTGATTTTCTTTTTTCACTCTTGACAGTTGATTTGCAGTACTTTTCACTCGATATGCCAGACACAGTAACAACAAAGTCTCCAATGGAGACGTTACTGGGCCCGCTCGAGCAAATCGACGATCAACGGGAGGGCCTTTACCTTTACCTTTACCTTCACTCACCATAAATTTTCCCTTTCATCTAAAAATGTCGGTTTTTCTCAAAGTTTACCTTGAAGCATAACCAAAGACTGCCGTAGCCGGCTGTTTTCTTTCCTGATGTTTGTGAGCTTTTGTCTCAGGCTTTTAATTTTTGTGCACAATTCCTCCTTGGACAATTCTGATAAAGGTTCTTCATCCTCACTGGAACTCTCACCAGGCAGAAAGGCATTTCCTGAATACGGGTGTCTCTGAAACACAAGAAAGGCAGACTAGAAGAAGTTCAAAGGTAAATTATACAGGTTAGCCCATGTCCCATAAGCTTTATCAGAATTTCTTTTTTTTTTTTTTGGGTCACACTTGGCGATGCACAGGGGTTACTCCTGGCTCATGCAATCAGGAATTATCCCTGGCGGTGCTCAGGGGACCATATGGGATGCTGGGAATTGAACCCGGGTCGGCCGTGTGTAAGGCAAACGCCCTACCTGCTGTGCTATTGCTCCAGCACCCAGAATTAATTTCTAACTAAACCTCAGTTTTGTACTCCACTGGCCAGGGGAACTCAGAAGAGATAAAAATCAAAGTTTCATATGAAAGTCGGCTGTACCACTCCCCAGCCTTTTCTGTTTTAAACTGCAACACTCCTATTACTATTCATTCACAAATGGAAAAATTTAAGGTTTTTTTTTTCTTTTTGGGTCACACCTGGCGATGCTCAGGGGTTACTCCTGACTTTGCACTCAGGAATCACTCCTGGCAGTGCTCGGGGGATCATATGCGATGCTGGGAATCGAACCCAGGTCGGCCATGTGCAAGGCAAACGCCCTACCCGCTCTGCTATTGCTCCAGCCCCCAAAGTTTAAGCTTTTTATCTTTTCTTTCTTACCAAGCAGATATGGAGACTGATGAGATCAGTTACCGGAAATACAAATACATTTTGTTTGTGGCTTGTGGTAATTGAGAAACGTCTCATCTACTTCCCAAGGAGCTGGTTGAATAAAGAATGGCATAGAAACATAATGGAGTCATAGGGAGCTGTACAAATGAAGTTCTAACGAAAAGGTCTTCTATACGCAACACTTTTCGTTTTTTTAAAATTTATTTTTTGAAGTCAAACAGGTTTCATTTGGAGATGTTGAAGGGAAGGAGGAAGAGAGAAAGAAGGAGAGAGTGGAGAGTAATATGCTCAAAAGAGAACCCGGGCTTCTCCAAGGGCGGAGAGAAATCCGACACACATCCTAGCATTAGACATGAAAGCATGAAAGTCCACATCTCAAGAGGGGAGATGCGGGCAACACGTGGACTCATGCACCACATGTGCTCAGCCATGTGGGCACAAGCAACAAGCAACACATGGGCTTGGGCAGCATATGCACTATTTTTAAATTTTTTTTTATCTTATTTTATTATTATCGTTATTATTTGTTCGAGCGGGCCCAGTAACGTCTCCATTGGAGACTCTGTTGTTACTGTGTTTGGCATCTCGAATACGTCACGGGGAGCTTGCCAGGCTCTGCCGTGCGGGCGAGATACTCTCGGTAGCTTGCCGGGCTCTCCGAGAGGGGCGGAGGAATCGGACCCGGATCGACCGGGCTGGCTGTGCACAAGGCAAACGTCCTACCTCTGTGCTATTGCTCCAGCCCTCTTGAGCAAATCGATGAGCAACGGGAGACAGTGCAGTGCAGCACTATTATTATTATTATTATTTATCTATTATCTCCTGTAGTGCTCAGGGGTTACTCCTGGCTCTGCACTCAGGAATTATTCCTGGTGATGCTTGGGGGTCATGTGGAATACTAGGGATTGAACCTGGGTCGGCCATGGGCAAGGCAAAAGCCCTACCCACTGTACAATCGTTTTCACCCCAGATACAACAGAGAGGAAACTCAGTAGGCCGAGCCCATTCTTTGCAGCGGAGGCCTGGCTTCGAGTCTCTGCATCCCAAGTTTCCCTGATCCCCTCTGATATTGACCCCAAGCACAGAGCAAGAGCAAAAGGCCCAAGTGCTGCTGGGCGTGGCCCTCCAAAAAAGGGAAAAAAAAGCAAACTACAAAGAGGCATACCTGGAAAGTTAGTTTTTATGCAGAAGGGAGTAAAAATTATATTCGTATTAGCACAATCTATACAAATAAATGCCTTGTTTGTCAAAGCATCGAAAATCATACAGGCCGGACACGTAATGTGATTTGGAGACGACCGCTGGACTAGAGCCGTTACCAACTGGATTCCACAGGACGTCAAAAGGACGCATGGCCGCCCACCTACGAGATGGTCAGACTTCTTCGACAAGACCCTGAACGATCGGTTTGAGGCTCTTCGTTTTTCTGGATCGAGCAGACACCATTGGGCTACACTAGCACGCGACAGGGAGGGATGGAGACGTTACTGGCACCCACTCGAGCAAATCAATGAGCAACTGGGATGACAAGTGACACAAGTGACACAAATAAATGCTAGAAGCATAAACCAAAATGCAGCAAGTGTGGTTATCCGCAGCGGGGGAGGTGGCAGTGAGAGGTATGGGGACAGGGTCAAGGGAGACAGACACGTGAGGGTGACTACACAGCTTATCTTTGAAGATATTGTGATTGAACAGTTAGATACTAAAAAAATCTAAATAATAGTACAAACACGCAGTGCCAGGGAATGGCTTGATGGCTAAAGTGTTTACATTGCAGATGTGAGACTATGAGTTGATTTGATCAGCCAATTTGATCCCCAGGGTTGCCTGAATGCATCAAGGGTGGTCTCTGAGACTCTGCCCTGGCATCATAACAGAGCCCACGAGCTCCAGTTCACCAGAGCCAGCAATTTGTGAGCTGAAGTTGCCGTGCTCATAGCTGATGAGCCCCACAACTGAAAGCGATGAGTGAGCCCTGTAGCCTGGAGTGCAACCCCTGGCAAGCACACGTGCGAGCACCACTGGTACCCAGGGTAAGCTCTGCACCCAGAATGAGCATGGCCTCTGTAACAGAAAGAGGGAGCTTCCAGGACTGGAGCGATAGCATAGCGGATAGGGCGTTTGCCTTGCATGTGGCCGGCCTGGCCGAGCTGGGTTCAATTCCTCCGCCCCTCTCGGAGAGCCCGGCAAGCTACTGAGAGTATCTTGCCCACACAGCAGAGCCTGGCAAGCTCCCCGTGACGTATTCGATATGCCAAACACAGTAACAATAAAGTCTCCAATGGAGATGTTACTTGGCCCGCTCGAGCAAATCGATGAACAACAGGAGGACAGGACAGTGACAATGATCTTTAAAATTTCCCAGAACACCAAGGAAAATTAGAATAATGGCATAACTGGAAATACATGTTGGGCATACATATGTACAACATGGCATGATTCTAATTCAACTTGTTCAACATTTTAAAAAAAGGAAATTAAGTTTTTCACTTAAGCAAAAATATGAAGGGAAGCATAGATTAATAGAAGAGGGAAAGGTTACTAATTATAAAATAAATGACAGAGCCATGGTTGAACTCGATAATAAAATCTTATCAAGATTTATCAGGATTTATCAAGAACACCCACCTGTCCTTTATCCATGTCACTATTTGCGTTCTCTGAGTCCATCGTCTCTGTGCGTTTCCTTTTTCCTTTTCTAAGGGCTTGGGGGTTGGTAATTTCATCTGTTTGCAAGATCTTCTGCATTTTCTCAATTATTTATCAAAGACTTTCTGAAATTGTAGAAAGGAATGTCTATGTAGATGATGCTATTCTTGATGTAGCCCCAAAGTTAATGTTTTTCCTTAAAAACAAAAAATGGACATATTATATGCTTATAGCTACTTTTTGGAATGGGGCCCCGGTGCCTGAAGACCTCCGGAACCCAGACACAGCCATACTCAAGACCACTCTCCACATGCTCGGACGAGCCTCACGCATGAAGGAACCGGCAGAGGAACCCAAGTGTGTGGGACCCTGGGCTGAGATCTCCAAGCTTGCTCAGATCGGGACTGGGCCTCCTCCACCCAGCTCCCCCACCTTCCAGTAGCTAGACAGTTACACCCACCAACTGCCGTGCAACCCCATCAACGGCCGAGATCCAGAGACTATAAAACCAAGCTCCTGGAAGCTAGACCTCTTACTGTCTGGTTCTCGCTCTCCGAGAACCCGGCAGGCTACTGAGAGTATCCTGCCCGCACGGCAGAGTCTGGCAAGCTCCCCACTGCGTATTCAATATGCCAAAACCCAGTAACAATGATGGGTCTCATTCCCCTGACCCTGAAAGAGGCTCCAATGTGGCACTTGCTAAAATCTCGGGGCTAAGACGAATGGAGACATTACTGGTGCCTGCTCGAGGAAATTGATGAACGACGGGATGACAGTGATACAGTGATAGCTACTTTTATTAATTTGTTCCATTCTTTCTTCCATGGACCAATTTAGTGTCATTTTGATTTAAACAACTTTTAATTTCACTATTAAATGAATGGTGACATGGTTCCAATGATGGGAGAACAAGGATAAAATATTTCTATAAGAGTAAGAGATACAACTAACTTTCACAAAACTATTCATAAAAAAAAATCTATGAGTAGTAATTGAGAATGGTCTTATTTTTAGTACGAGCTTCCCTAGGAGTGCTAGTGGCCATGTCGGGGGTGATCCTGTCCTGACAGTTCTTGGGTATTTGAGATTAAACTGAGGACCTCGAGGAGTTGTGAATCAACTTGGGATCTCAAGCATGCTGGGATGCTTGTACTTCTTAAAGCTATGTTCTCTGCCCCTGAGTATAAATTTTTTTTTTTTGTGAGAGAAAGTCTTCTAATCAAAATAGACTTTATTTTTTAAAGATAATTAATTTTATTTATTTATTTATTTATCCATTTTGGTTTTTCTGGGTCACACCTGGCAATGCACAGGGGTCATTCCTGGCTCTGCACTCAGGAATTACTCCCGATGGTACTCAGGGGACCATATGGGATGCTGGCAATCGAACCCGGGTCAATCGCATGCAAGGCAAACGTCCTACTCGCTGTGCTATCATTTCAGCCCCCAACATAGACTTTAAAGGCAGAATTTGCAAGCTTGAAGAATGCACAAGAGGCTAGAGGACTTGCTTTGCATGCAGAAGACCAAGGTTTGATCCCTGGCACCTCAAGGTCTCTTGAGTGACCCCAACTGAGACTAGAGTAGCTGGGTGCACCTGAACACATGAGCACCTCAACACTGTGGGACGCCATTCCCAAATCAAACAAACAAACAAACAAACAAACTAATAATATTTTGATGAAAAGGGTTTGTGAGAACTAGGCTACAGAACTGAGTTTACAAAGAGTGGAGTGCTAGGGAGTTTGGATTGGGAGGGGACATGTGATGATGGTAGAGGGAAATGAATACTGGTGGTAATGGGGGGTGTTGTTGGAATCTTCTATGCATGAAATCCTACCAGCAACAGTTCTGTAAATCACAGTGCTTAAAAAATAAAAATAATGTGTGTTATGTGTGTATGTGTATCTTTGAACTATCTATCTATCTATCTATCTATCTATCTATCTATCTATCTATGGTACAGAGATACATAGTAAGAGAGCAACTAATGGCCAAGGGCAACAGAATTGGAAAGTCAATTCAATTGAATGGGCTTGAATGGACCTGAAAGGATTTGAGTGGGCAGGACCCTGGGGACCTTGGAGGGAAGTGGGTACTCTTGGTGGTGGGTGTGGTGTTGGAATGATGAATGCGTGAAATTATCAATAACTGTATCACAATAAATACTTCAAAAAGGCGTTCAAAGTGTTCCTTGTAATTAAAATCAATTGCGAGTATTAATTTGTAATTGCGAGTATTAATTTGTAAATGCTAAAAGTACATTCAGACTTTATGTGTTTGTTTTTTTTTTTCCTATCTCTCTGGCCCTAAGAGTTTATGCATTTTATCTTTGAACATAACTTTCACACTGATAGGTACTATGTATGCTGATATTAATTACAAAATTCCCATAACATAAAACAACCATTTCATGTTTGACGTGTATTCAGTGGTTTTCAATAAATATTGTACAGCCATCACCAAGAAATTCCAGTCCTCTCAATATTAGCTTATAATTTTATTTTTATTTATATTTATTTATTTTTGGGGTCACAGAAGGCAATGCTCAGGGGTTCCTCCTGGTTCTGCACTCAAGAAATACTCCTGGCCATGCTGGGGGGACCATATGGGAGGCAGCAGATTGAACCTGAGTTGGCCGTGTGATAGGCGAAGCCCTACCCGCTGTACTATTGCCCCAGCCCCCAAGCTTATAATTTTACTTGTGCATATTCAACTCTTAGAATTTGCTTTTTAGTATGTTATCGCCGCATGCATAGATTTATTCCTTCCAATTAAAGATTAACTGGAAGCCCCTCAATTGTTATTGAACGCTTGATCACTTGACATTCCATTACTCATTGATTTGCTCGAGCTGGCGCCAGTAGCGTCTCCATCCCTCCCTGTGGCGTGCCAGTGTAGTTCAATGGCATCTGCTTGCTCCAGGCACACGAAGAGCCTCAAATCGATCGTTCAGGGTCCTGATGAAGAAGTCTGACCATCTCGTAGGTGGGCGGCCACAGGATCTTTTGATGTCCCATGGAATAAGTCGGTAATGGCTCTAGTCCAGCAGTCGTCTCCAAATCGCATTACGTGTCCAGCCCATCTGATTTTCGATGCCTTGGCAAACGAGACAGCGTCCCTGATTCTTGATCGTCGACAGAGGTCGGAACTCTGGATTCTTTCTCTCATTTCAGTGAAGCGTGATACTCCAAGCATAGCTCTTTCGATTCCTCTTTGGGAGACCCGAATAGCGTTCTCATCCTGTTTTCGTAGGGCCCAGGTCTCTGTGGCATATGTTAATGCAGGAAGAACAGTGGAATCAAAGAGATGTGCCCGGAGCCAGAGCTTCTTGGTTCTCTTAGCTATTTCTTCGACTCTCTTGAAGGCGTTCCAAACCGCTCTTTTCCTTCTGCGCAATTCAGGTGCCAGTCATTTGTCATGTTGACATCTCGACCTAGGTACACATAATTGTTGCATTCGAAGATGTTCATTCCGTTGAGAGAAAATGGAATGTCAGGGATGAGACAGTTTCTCATAAACGTTGTTTTCATGAGATTCAGCTGCAGTCCGACCTTTCCACATTCACGGTCAAAGTCGGCCAGCATTTGTGCCGCTTGGCTAATGTTTGGTGTTATTAGAACAATGTCGTCAGTGAAGTGGAGGTGGTGTAGTTGCCGACCATCTATCTTCACTCCCATTCCTTCCCATTCCAGTCGTCGCATGATGTTCTCGAGGGTGGCACTGAAGAGTTTTGGTGAAATGTATCACCCTGCCGAACCCCTCTCTCGACGTCGATGATCACTTCCTGGTAGAATGGTGAGATCCTGGTAGTGAATCCGTAATACAGCTCACAGAGGATCCTGATGTATTGGGTTTGAACTCCCTGTTTAACTAGGGCTTCGATGACCGCTTCCGTCTCAACAGAATCAAAGGCCTTCTTTAAATCAATGAACGTCAGACTGAGCAGCATTGTGTACTCCCGAGAAACCTCAATGAGCTTGGTTACTGTGTGGATATGGTCGGTCGTCCTTTGCGAACCCGGCTTGCTCGCATGGTTGTCCTTCATCTAGTGTTCTGCCAATCCTATTCAGCATGACTCGAGAGAACATATTCAATAACACATAAAATGTGTTACTGAACACATTTTTAAAAATTATTTACTTTGGGGCTGGAGCGATAGCACAGCGGGTAGGGCGTTTGCCTTGTATGCGGCTAACCCGGGTTCGATTCCCAGCATTCCATATGGTCCCCTGAGCACCGCCAGGAGTAATTCCTGAGTGCAGAGCCAGGAGTAACCCCTGAGCATCACCGGGTATGACCCAAAAAGCAAAAAAAAAAAAAAAAAAAAAAAAAAAAAAAAAGATTTACTTTGCATTTGCATTAAGATCTCAAAAAATAGGGAAGTGTAATTTGAACTTTATATATACAACCAGTGTAAGTCTAAGGAGGGAACAAAGAGCTCATTTCTTGTTTTAAGTTTGTGTCTGTCTGTGGGGGTGGGTGAGGTCACTCCTGGTAGTCTTGGGGTGGGGCATGTGGTGCAGGACATGTGGTCTATTATTGAGTCATATCCCTGACACTTGTTTCAAATTTTCTGACAGCAGAGGAAGTAGTTTTAACATTACTTATGAGTCACATATTACTTAGTGTTAAATTGACTTCTTCCCTATTTAAACTTTGCATTTAACTTTATATTTTATCCTGCCATTTGTTAATAAGTTAATCAAGAAACATTATAAAATATGCAATAAAAGCTAATTTCCAAAGTCATTTAGTGTTTCACAGGACTTGCTGAGGGCAGTTTTCTTCCATAAAAATTGTTAGTCTTGGCCCCGGGCTCAAACATGCTAGTAAAGTTTTACCATTACCTAGCTAGTTAAATGTGTAGTGGGACAAGTAAAAACATTCAATGTTTATTTCTGGAAAAAAAATTTGTAACTGAACTGAATGAATAAAGTTCATTTTTGGCTCTACTGGTACAGTAACATGAAATATCTTTTCAAAAATTGCCAATATTATTTTGAAATTTATTTAAAAAAAAAGTACAAGTCGCACAATGGAGATGTTACTGGTGCCCACTCAAGCAATTCAATGAACAAGAGGACAGTGCTGACAGTGCAGTGCTGATAAAAAGATGTAGGACATTCAGAGTGGCCAAAACAAAGTTAAAGGAAAAAAATTGAAAGGCTCACAGACTCACATTTCCCAACTTCA